GGAAATGAGAGTGTTTTTAAAGATAAGGAGCTGGCAGTCCCACTAATGTTATCATTCACTGGAATTAGGGTCAAGCATTAGACAAGTTAGCACCAATCAGATGTTTTTCTGACCTATATAGAGTTTCGTTCCACCCTTCTACTTCTAGTTATCAGAGAAAAATAATTATGCTGAATTGCTTAATTAACATGTGTTAGTCCAGGTTGAAGGATGTCTCTCTTCAGTCTCAACTCTGATATGTATGTGATGCATGCTTGTATTTTAGTACTTACCACACTTTATCATGGGAATTATTTTTGTTTTTATCCACATAAAGTGAGGTGGTTTTTTGTGGGTAAAACTAAATTTTGTGGCATCCCTAATGTTTAGCATAGTGCCTGACACTTGGTATACACAATTGAGTTAAATACGACATAACAGAGTTTCTACTGACTCTGAGATTAGTAATTAATATTGTCCAACATACTGGCTCCATACAAGTAACTTGTATATAAGCTACATAGGAAGGAATTGGTAGAATACCATTTCTACTTTGAAAGATGCTTTTCAGAATTAATAAGATATTTTGCTGAAATTTTATTAAACATCCAAATCATTTAATTTTAATTATCTCAATAAATTTTTAAATCATTTAAATCATTTATACTGATTACTGAAGCCTGTTAGTAATCAGTCTTCAGATAATCTGTCTTTAAGAGTAGAGTTTACAGTGATTCTTAAATCAATATTTCTCTGAAGATTAACTATGGAGTCCTGGGAATCTTGGTTTGTAAATGAATCTGCTGCCACAAGAATTGTTAGTATTAAACACTAAAAACAATAGTTTTACACATGAAGTCATGAAAATTGTTTCCCATTAGAAACAAAGACATTTGAACATATGATCTTAATGTAGATAAGTTTTCTGATGAAAGAATTCCTGGAAGTTGGAAAAGCATTTCAATTGTTAATAATGTTATTTTCCCTACAGAATATACATTACCTATAGACATGCTTGACCTTGGCAAGCCTGAGGCATACATTGTAAAATACACATACCAGATACATAAGAGAATTTTAACTCATGCTTCATTATTCATTTCCCCAGCCTACACAACTGAGGCGCAGATTGCCTGGCCTCAGTATAACATCACTGTGTACACATTCTTGTACTTTTTTTGATTAAGGAAGTACATTCATATTGTGCCTTTAAAAGCATTCCATTCCTCATCACAGACTTCACAGACCAGTCAAGCTGACCTGTGCAGTACCAATGATTCCCTATCCTTCCACAGCTTCTTACCTTTACATGCAGAACATGCTCTTTATCCTTCTTCCTCTGATTCCTCTGCTTAGGGCACCTTCTATCCCATCCAAGTCCATGACCTAATTCCAGCTCACACTTCAAGATCTGGCTTAGTTAGAAATATCCATGGAAACTAGCCTCTCAACCATGGGTTAGAGTCCTGTAAACAGTACCCCTAAAGCTCTTGTGAAAAAGGATCCAGTCTCTTTTTACTTCCTAATCAATGTTTTATCCTTAAGAGCTGTGGCTTACTCATCCATTATCACATTTAGATAATATAAAGCCAATGAGGAAGGTTGGATGAGGAGAAAAGATTTTGGAGTTACAGAGGTGATAGCTTTGTTGCTGAGTTGTTTTGAATAAGCACCAGGATCTCAATGGCTTGATTTCATTCCCTGTAAAATGGACTCACACTGCTTACTTTGTGGAGTTGTTAATAAACACATAAATATATACTTGGTGGTTTTTCCAAGTCTCCTACATACATTGTCTTCTTGCTTAGCACAACCTTAGTAGTGTTAGTATCCATACTTTATAGTTTAAAAACAATTAAAAACAGAAACATGCAGTAACTTGCCCAAAGCTGCATAGTTTATAAAGACATAGTTTTTCAGCCCTGAGGCACCTAGTTCTGGATCACTCATAAGTCCCATAAACCGCAAATCCTATTCTTACATTCTATTTTCCCTAAGTAACTTCTTAATCACAAAAAATAGTTATTAATTTTCTAAAATATAATATCTAATAGATTCTCTAAAAAATTGAGAATATTTTCTAAATTTCTAGCAAGTACTGAGACATTTGTTTCTAGAAATGTCGTACTAAAATATCCCTTGAGGGGCTCAGGGATGTAGCTCAGCAGTAGAGTATTTGCCCTGGGCTTGTGTGTTGTAAAACAAAGTTGAATATAGTTTCCATGATACTAGTGAGACTGAGCTAGTCCCCACCTAAGTTCTCTGAAAAAAATAAAATAAAAATTTAAAAATCATCTCTTAAACACTCCATTGTGCCCAAAAGAGTTCCATCATAATTTATGCTCTGTCTCAACACAGAAAAGCAAAAGGTGTAGAAATCTGTCCTGTACTTAAAACGTGTGGAGAAGAAAGCAAGAGCCAAGACTGTGCAATGCTACCCAAGGGAGAGAGCAAAGGAACAAAGGTGGAAATGCAGAAGGTCTAGGAATGAGTGAGGAAAAGTTGCTGAGATGTGAGCCTGTGATGGAAAAGCCAAAAGAGCAGGGGAGGACTCAGATTGTGGAGCTTTGAGCATTTGTGCCACATCCCCAATTTCTAACACTGTGTTTTCACAAACAGGCAAATATAATCTGCTCTCACTTTATTCTGAGCTCTGAATATGTATGTACTTGGCTAAAATGTTCAGTGCAGCAGATCATACATCATTGTGCCAATCACAATTTCAGAAATCTTTATTTATTTGCCAGGTATTGTTTGAATGTGAAAAAAATAAAATAAAATAAAATGACGCAAGTAGTCTTTCTGTGGCTGCATTGTTTGCCTGGGCTGTGATTGGATATGGTCCAGTAATACCTTTAAGATAGGCTGAGACATAAATAAATATGCAATGTGTGTTTTGAAAGAGACTCTAAGAGAAGTCAAATGGTTTCATAGTTCTAATTGACCTTAGAAATCAGAGCCCAACCCCTTATTAAAAGAAAAACTCCTAAGACTAAAGGAGGTCAAAGGACCTGCTCAAGCTCACCAGACTAGTTATTGGCAAAGCTACAGCCAGGAAAAAAAGTAGAACACTTATTCCTACTCCACTGATCATTATATGTGCTGTTTTGTCTCCCAGGACATTTAGAACACTCCCAGATAGCAGCAGTTTGAGCTTCAACATACTCTAAAAATACAGATGTTTTTTCCTATATAGACTAACATGGCCATAGCCTGGACATACCTTTGTCATCTGAGACTCTCTCAAGTTAACATTCCAGAACTGCATTTAATAAGAACAATTTTAATCAAATATGTAATATCAGTTGTTAAGCAAATTAGTTCAGCTGAACAACTTTCCATATCTTATCTGCCTGTTGTTCAGTTTCTCAGGTTAGAAACCAGAAAACATGACTGTGCCTTTCTCGTGGGTGTTTTGAAATGATGCTATGAATAATGAGATTCACATTTAATACATTAAAGACATAAATTCACAGGGAAACTGTTTAGGAAAACCTTACAGTGAGACTTCCATTCAGGCTCTGGTCAGATAAGGCCAAGTCAACACTCTGTCTCCCTCTCGTTCTCTACCACAGTTTGCTACTTATTAGATACCCGTGATACCAGACAATATTTTAAATTGTTATTTCTAAACCATGATTGTTACTATACCATTCTGTGAAATAATGCTTTCTGCTAATGGTAGATATTGAACCCAATGTCTGTTTAGTTCCTTAGATCAATATTTACAATTGAAATATTATTTTTATAAGCCCATTTCTAAAATTTCAGCACAAACTAACATTTACCAGCACCTTAATAAAACAACCCAAAATGATCTAGCACATACACATAGACATCTGTTTTTAACATGGATGCCTGGAGATAAGAGGAAATAGTTACTAAGTCTGATTTATAGTCTTGAAGTCTACTAAATCAATCTGAATACAGGTCGTACTCACATGAAAATATAGCATTAATGATAGACAATATAATTTAGAATAAGGTTAACTTATTTGTTATGCTTGTGAAAGAATTTCTAAATGTTTTCAGCTTGTCTTTTCTTAAATGATAAGGAGGTCATGGGGCAAAACTATATGAATAGGAATCTACTAAGTAGGTAGGTAGGTTTTGGCAGCTGCCAGTTTGGAGAATCTCAGTGAGGCAGAGACAGGGCTGGGAGGGGCGGAGTTGTTATTCTTTAGGCAGGAGCCCAGGGAAGTCAGGCAAGGCCAAGTACTAGCTGGCAAGGACCACTTCTGGGTAACCAGAGCCCAGAATTCAGGAAGGCAGAGTCTAAATGAAACCTCCATGACAAAGATAACAGTAAAAGGTGGATGCCATTTGCTTTCACCCGTGCTGTGGGCCCTTGATGACAGAGTGCTTCCAGAAAGTTGAGAAGTCTGTCAGAGTTCTGCTTTAGAGCATAGCTGAATAACTTCTTTAACAAGTGAGTACTTAGCTTTGAGGAACTTACTGACCATATTTACCTAGACTCTAGACACCCTGGTTAAGCTACTGAGATATAAATGTGTGAGGTATAAAATTCTTATGAGACAAAGGGAATACTAAATGATAACTGGTGAGTCTATTTCATAAATTGTGTGATGTTGAGCTAACAGATTCACTGTCTTCTTCAGAGTAGTAAAATATTTGGAAACCTGTTTGGGTAATAAAAAAAATAGTCCTAATGGTCATAATCAAGGATATTAAATAGTAAAATAGATCTCACTATAAATTCTGGCCAAACATATCACAACAGATTAAATTCATTATTTAAAGTTCTCTAAAACTACTAAATACAATATAAAATGGGGCTGTAAATGTCTGCTCAAACATTTGATGGTTTGTTTTATTAGGTATTACTTTACTGTTCTTTATATACTTAATAGTTTGTCCTACTACTTATAATTCAGGTTTTGGCTTCTCTACTCACAAAATAAAGATACTAGCTGAAATATTATCTCAAAGTTTTTTATGCTCACAAATAAAAGTTGTTTCTTATTAATGTTTCAATTTTTTCTGATTATCTTTCCCAATAGCACTGCCACAAAAGTAAATACAATTAGAACTTCAATGGATTTTGGTCAAAAAACTAAAAATGAAGCCTCGTGAAACACTGTGCTTCATACCTATAATTTCAGCACTTGGATCACCATTATTTGGAGGCTATCCTGTTCATTCTGCACAGTATGTCCCAGGCCAGCTAGGGCTACACAGTGAAACTTAGGCTCAAAAAGAAAAAGATTATCAACTCTCTCCATTGCCAAAGATATCTGTAACTCAAAGAATTGCAATAATATGAAGCCTAAGAAAATCCCTTCCAAAATGCATACAAGAAGGCCAAGAACATTCACAGCCTACAGAAGCGAAGCAACCAACAAGAAAGAGGAGATCCAGCTGAAGTGGGCATGCTCAATTAGCCCCCTGCTAGCCTCCCACAGCAAAGGATAGCAGCCCTCATCTGTCCAGTGCAGCACGGAGCGGTAAGTGTGAGATGAACCTGTTTCTACAGTGCATATATAAGGAAAACTCAGCTTTCCAGGCCTCTCAGGGCTGTTGTTTCATTATTTTGGCCATATAGCATTATTTTGTTTCAATCATTTAGATAGCCATAGCTAAATATTGTAATGAGTAGCCACAAATACATGCATTGTGAGTTCTGGAAATAATTTACTTTATCCTCTCCTTTAGATGGTACAATACATGAATATGTATATATTTATAATATTTTATTTTTTATTTTATTTTACAATATAATTTAATTCTACATATCAACCACGGATTCCCTTGTTCTCCCCCTCCCGCCCTCCTCCCCTTCCCCCCAGCACACCCCCCATTCCCATCTCCTCCAGGGCAAAGACTCCCCTGAGGATTGAGATCAACCTGGTAGACTCAGTCCAGGCAGGTCCAGTATCCTCCTCCCAGGCTGAGCCAAGCGTCCCTGTATAAGCCCCAGGTTTCATACAGCCAACTCATGCACTGAGCACAGAACCCGGTCCCACTGCCTGGATGCCTCCCAAACAGATCAAGGCAATCAACTGTCTCACCTATTCAGAGGGCCTGATCCAGTTGGTGACCCCTCAGCCATTGGTTCATAGTTCATGTGTTTCCATTCGTTTGGCTATTTGTCCCTGTGCTTTATCCAACCTTGGTCTCAACAATTCTCACTCATATAAACCCTCCTCTTTCTTGCCAATTGGACTCCCAGAGCTCCACCTGGGGCCTGGCCGTGGATCTCTGCATCCGGTTCCCTCAGTAGTTGGATGGGGTTTCTAGCATGACAATTAGGATGTTTGGCCATCCTATCACCAGAGTAGGTCAGTTCAGGCTATCTCTCGACCATTGCCAGCAGTCTATTGTGGGGGCATTTTGTGGATTTCTGTGGGCCTCTCTAGCACTTTGCTTCTTCCTATTCTCATGTGGTCCTCATTTACCATGGTCTCCTGTTCCTTGTTCTCCCTCTCTGTTGTTGATCCAGCTGGGATCTCCCGCTCCCCCAAGCTCTCTTTCCCTCGACCCTTGCCCTTCATTACTCCCACTCACGTCCATGTTGTTCATGTAGATCTCATCCATTTCTCTGTCATTGGGTGATTCCCGTGTCTTTCTTGGGGTCCTGTTTTCCAGGTAGCCTCCCTGGTGATGTGAGTAGCAGTCCAGTCATCCTTGTTCCACATCTGGTATCCTCCTATGAGTGAGTACATACCATGTTTGTCTTTCTGAGTCTGGGTTACCTCACTCAGGATGATTTTTTCTAGATCCATCCATTTGTCTGCAAACCTCATGATTTCATTGTTTTTCTCTGCTGAGTAGTATTCCATTGTGTATATGTACCACATTTTATTTATCCATTCTTCCATTGAAGGGCATCTAGGTTGTTTCTAGGTTCTGGCTATTACAAACAATGCTGCTATGAACATAGCTGAGCATGTGCTCTTGTGGTATGATTGAGCATTCCTTGGGTATATGCCCAAGAGTGGCATAGCTGGGTCTTGGGGGAGATTGATTCCCAATTTTCTAAGAAAGCACCATATTGATTTCCAAAGTGGTTGTACAAGCTTGTATTACCACCAGCAGTGGAGGAGAGTTCCCCTAGCTCCACATCCTCTCCAGCATAAGGTGTCTTCAGTGTTTTTGATCTTAGCCATTCTGACAGGTGTAAGGTGGTATCTCAGAGTTGTTTTGATTTGCTTTTCCCTGATAATTAGGGATGTTGAGCAATTCCTTAACTGTCTTTCAGCCATTTGAGTTTCCTCTGTTGAGAATTCTCTGTTTAGCTCTATAGCCCATTTCTTAATTGGACTGTTGGGCATTTTGATGTCTAATTTCTTGAGTTCCTTATATATTTTGGATATCAGTCCTCTGTCAGATGCAGGGTTGGTGAAGACCTTTTCCCATTCTATAGGCTGTCGCTTTGCCTTGTTGACTGTATCCTTTGCTCTACAAAAGCTTCTCAGTTTCAAGAGGTCCCATTGATTGATTGTTTCCTCAGTGTCTGAGCTACTGGTGTTATATTTAGGAAATGATTTCCTATGCCAATGCTTTTAAGACTACTTCCTACTTTCTCTTCTAACAGGTTCAGAGTAGCTGGATTTATGTTGAGGTCTTTGATCCACTTGGACTTAAGTTTTGTGCGCAGTGACAGATATGGATCTATTTGCAGCCTTCTATACGTTGATATCCAGTTATGCCAGCACCATTTGTTGAAGATGCTTTTTTTTCCCATTGTACAGTTTTGGCTTCTTTGTCAAAAATTATATGTTCATAGGTGTGCGGATTAATGTCAGGGTCTTCAATTCTATTCCATTCTTCTACATGTCAGTTTCTATGCCAGTACCAAGCTTTTTTTATTACTGTAGCTCTATAGTAGAGCTTGAAGTCAGGGATTGTGATGCCTCCAGAGGTTGTTTTATTGTACAGGATATTGTACATGAATATGTATATATTTATAATATTTTAAAGATATTTATGTAGACAATAGAGTTTGGCTTAATTAGTTCAGGTGTGTGTGTGTGTCTCTGTGTGTGTGTGTGTACTTGAACATGCAAACACACACTCATACAACTCTAAACTCAGGCACTGGTGCTTTGCTGGGCTTCATGCTGCAGTGAATCTTTTTGCCTTTCATTTGACCAAGCCAAAGGATGCTGTACCCAAAGGGTTATGCTCATCAGAATAGTAAGTAGACACTCATCATGTGTTCTTTGCTTTTTTTGGGTACCTGGAATCTCAGAATCACCTGCCCAAACATTCCTGAACCTGTGTCAATTTCTTCTGCAGATCATTCTCTTGCACAGGTCCTGAGAGTGCCCACCTGGCAACAGCTGCAGGAAATCTCAATAGATCCTGGACATGTGAGCAGGAATGGCCACTTGCATACTTTGATACTTTTTGCTATTTAGGAAGGGCAGGAGAGGGCAAAAAGGGTTGTGGGTCTTGGAACAGTCTCTTCTAGCAGCCTTCCCTTTTAAACACAACTACAAAGGTGTCAAAAATTCTAAATTGGAAGCTTTTCTGAGCTACATTTTTAAGGTAGAAGCACAAAGATCAGTATTTCATTTATAGGTTTTTACCATGATTAATAATTTCATATATTCTATGTGGGAATCTATTTGTAATTTCTTTCTAGGCCCACAAATATTAGGGGAAAGATTGTACATATGCGATATAGAAAACTCATTTTTTCCTAATACTGTTTCTACATAAACTTTCAAGAGGATAGCAAAAGAACTCAGATTTTTAAGTATACACTAACCTGTGATTTCATATGGAGTACACATTATTTTGAATTGCTTTCCCAACATCTCTTAGCATAATATTATACAACCTGATTAATCAAAACCTCATTCCCAGGCAGCCCCACCTTCCCTATTTGGCACAGCTTTAAGCTGGTAACTCCCTTTGACTCCAGCATTTCAGCAACATTTAAGGAAAAGGCGATAGGACTCAAAACAGTGGGTTTTCTTTTTGAGTAAATTCTATACCTCATCACAGAGTAGGCAAAACTAAAAAAAAAAAGCTCATATAGGAATAACACATTTTCACAGTTTTTCTCCCTGCTCTTTTTTTTTTTTAATCCAAGACTTAAACACACAAAATGAAAAAGTCCCAAACAGAAACAAAGTTGAACCCCTCCTGGGATCATTGCAGTACTTACCTCAAATACTTCTAAGCCATAGTCACAATACTTTAGTGCCTATTTATTGAGAATTAGCTACATGCAATCAAGAGACATATGTACAATTCAATGTGGAAAATAAGTCACAACAAATTAAGCAACAGAAAATAGTGGGTGTGTTGTTTGTTTTCTGTGGGGCTGGGGATTAAACTCAGGACCTCACACATGCTGGGCAAGTACTCTAGCTCTAAGCAATACCTTTAGCCTATTTTTATTTTAATTCAGGTAAGAGTTTTGCTATACTGCCCAGACTGGACTCAAACTTGTAACCCTCCTGCATCAGTCTCCCAAGAAGCTAGGGTTACAAATGTACACCACTACAACTGGCTAAGAAAATAATCTTAAATCCTTGTCTAAGACAGGAAGACTTCTTTTACCTTCTTTAGTGAATGGAATGGATATATGTGATAGAAAGCAAGAGGGCAGTCTAGAACCATAATGGTACTTGAATATGTTTGTTTTGTTTTGTTTTGTTTTGTAGATAGGCTCTCACTATGGGGCCCAGGCTGGCCTCAAACATGTGATCCTGCTGTCTTAACCTCTGTCATTTAAATTGTTTCCTGTGTGAATGCCTCAGCTACAGATTCTGTGCCATCAGTCCCACTTGGAAATGGCTAAGCTAATGGATACTTGCCTTTTTTTTGCCCCAGTACACAAAGCAAATATCTATGAACCTAGGGAATATCTGGTAAACATGAAGATTTGGGGCATTCTGGAATATTCTAATTCCAAATATGGAAGGTATTATATCATCTTGCTTTCACATATCTGGGCCACTAAAGACTAGACAACTACCAAGGCAGTCTGAATTAGGGACTGCAAACATGAGAGAGACTATAATTGATTTACCAGATGTTGCTTCAGAAAAGTAAGAGCTATTTATAGAAAACAATGTGTACAATGAACTGCATCTTCAGAGCAAGTAGGTATTCTTAAATGTTAGCATTTAGTAGGATCATAAGTACATGGGCAATACCATCTGATTTTCTGACATTAACTGTAGTGAGTCATTAAATTGCCAGAGCTGTATATGGTATAAATGATGAGCTGACCACACTGTACACACCCAATGTGTCATAACTGATGATGCTCAAAGTACATGTTCATAAGCCATCTGGATTCCTCAGCATATAGTTTTCTGAAATTAAACCATCCCAGTGACAATGTTCACTATATTCTGTATGTCCAAATATAAACCTACTTATCATGAATCACAGGGGCCTGACTATCCTTAATTATTCAAGCCATTAAGTCTCTAGTATGAATTCTGAACCACAATATGGTCTACAGATTATGCTTTGGGGGAAATGGTATGCATTTGATAAAATTTGTTGAATTGGACCAAAGCTGTAGTATCAAAAATTATACTTCTATAAGGATTCAAAAATGAAAGGGGAGGGAGAGGGCTCAGTGGGTGAAGCTCCTGCTCTTTAAGCATGAAGATCCAAGTTTTGATCCCAAGAACTCACATAAAAAGCTGAGTGTGGTAGCACTCACCTGTAATCTTTAATCTTAGTGCTAGAAAGTGGAAGCAGAAGAGTTGAGGGGTCTCAGCGGACCTTGAAAACACTATGGAAGGTAAAAGTCGTAATCCTGTTTGTATGAGGAACATAGAAAAGGGAAGTCCATACAGCAGGAAAGTAGATAGCACATAATTGCATAACACTGTAAATTTGTTTTTAAAACCATACTGCAACTTTAATTTGATGTATTCTTTGACATGTAAATTATATTTTTATATGGGCTTTTTAAAAAAATAAATCCCAGCTGGGTATGAGTATATTTCTTCTGTTCCAAATAATGGAGTTATAGAGGAGAGCATGAAGCCTCCTAAGGGGTTCCATTTGTGCAAAGGCAACAGAATTCTCCCCTCTAAGATCATTTTGATCCAGAAGCACCACAAAAATGCACTGATCACATTTTCATCTCCTTGTTGCTTTAGAGTCTGAAAAACCTTTTACGGGCTATCTTGTAAAATAAGTCATGAAGGACCTTAGCCAAATAGGCATACTGTACATGGAAATGCACAGTACATTAACTTCTTAACATTCGTATGAATAAGCTTATGAACTTAGCCAGGCATCTCACTGAGGCCCTGAAGAAATGAAATGTTAATTAAAATTTAAGGGAAGAGGAAAAGATTTGGTACTTGGCATACCGCCTAATGCAGTGATTTTTAGGAGTAAAATCTGAGAAACAGACACAAATGTGGAATAGCACCACAGGCTACTTTTTGGCAGTCATAATTCACCCACCTTGCTCACCTCTCTCTGAGTATATCAACATTAGCCACCCGGGCTACAGTTAGTTATACAGTTTTACTTTTTTGTTCTTTATGCTTTAGTAGGCAAGCAGTAAATCTAGGATTATAAATCATAATCCCTGGCAAAGAAAAGCCACTGAAGTGTTTTTAAGAAGGGCAGCGCCATGATCAGCTGCTTTAGTATTGCCTCCCTCGCTGTGTTGTGGAGACAAATTTATGCAGAATGAGACTCAGTGTAGGGAGATACTCTAAA